GCCCTTTTCTGGGCTAACCTGAGGGCAGCTGTTAACATTAACCTGCCCACAGCCATTGAAGCAAATAAGGACCAGAGTGATGTTACATATACTTAGTAGTATAAGTATGTAAATAACTGATTTGACTGTTTTACATTAAATTCTGTTAATAATTTTTTCTATTTTTTTACACCATTGCTAGTTTGTTGCAAAATGTATTTGTGATACCTATAGAGATTGCTATTGCAAATTCTAGTCATCAGAGTAGTCAGAGGTCATCTGTAGTTGTCCATCATCAACAAAGAGAGGGAGGGAGAAATTTTCATAGTGATTGACCTTATTTTTGGGTTACATAAATTTCATACTTTTCCCACTGAAAGGCATATTTGAAAGTAATGATGATAGCGGTTGGTTCAGCATCATCAGGACTGCCAAGGAATGCATTTAATCTTTGTTCTGACATGAATGTTGTGGGGTTAAGATTGTAAGCATCTGCTTCCTGGGATTTAATTAGATAACAAAAGAAGAAAATTTGTGTTTAAAACTCTTCCTGTACATGGATATAGTAGATGTCATAGGTACAATATCTCTATACCTTTAGCCTGTTTTCCTTCTTGGAAGTCTTTCCCTCCATCACAGAGAGAGTTTCCTAGGTAGGTGCTGAATGTTTGGATCCATTAATCCTTGTTTAATATTCTTCTTCCTTTGCTGTACTAAATATTCCCACTTGCCCAGAGATAACTACCAAGTCAATGATTTCATAGAATTCACTATTCATTGTCTTCAAAATCATAGTAAATATCTGAACTTATGAATTTTTTATAATATTGTAATATTACTGCTTTCTGCTATGATCATATCAAGCTGTACTGGGTTATGTATTTTTCCTGTTTTCTAAAACTTAGAAGATTGATGTTTGAGGGTGAGACCCTTTTATCTCCAGGCTTTCACTGAACTCTATTACCTTGCTCTTTCAAACAGCAGGTGCTGAGGGTCATCATACAGGTGAAAAAGGAATATATTTCCTTGGAAAATAACTCCTCTGCTGAAATCTAATGGTGGTTTTTGATAGGAGACATCTAGTAGTTTACTGTGCTTATTTGACAGTCCAATAAACCTCCCATTCTTTATCTGTTATTAAATTTCATGTGTCATTTAACTGGTGATGTGGGGGTTTATGATTATGCTTATGGCTCAATGGAAGTGCAAAGCCCAGTGATCACAACTGTGAGCAGCACGTGAGGTGAGCAAACCAGTAAGAGGATGTGATCCTTAACACTCACTGAGGTGGTTCACCAGGCACCCACCAGGCATGGTAGCTGGGTGAAACAGTGAATCTGAAGTTGTGGGAGAACTTCCTGGTGTCCAGTGATGCTGAAATACTGCTGGCACCCACCTACCAGTTCAGATTAAAAGGGTAGGATCACAATAGAATGCAAGGTGCCTGGCTCCCAGTGTAGAGCTTTGGAAAAAAGAGCTAGAAATCCCTACTAAATCTAATTTTAGGTAAAAGGAATTGGCTACCGACTTCTGTAACAACAAATCTGAGATCTCCCCCTTTCTAAAGTCAGGATGTGTGCCTTAAGAAGGGCTGCTAAACCCTCAGTATTTCAGTGGGAGCTGGTGGATGCACTATACTTTAAAAGCACGTTGTTTATAATGAGGAAAGGTGTTCGAAGACAAAGAGTGCTCTGCAGAAGTCCAAGTCAGGAAGGCTTTACCCTATACTGAATGTCACTTGTGCTTTGTGGCAACCCAACATCGTGGCCAGAGGCATTGGGCACCATGGAGTGCTGCTGAAAGTGCCTCACAAATCTTGTGGGCCAGCCAGCCACTTACAGCAAGATGTGTGGCATGTTCCACAGAAGTACAGGTGTTAAACCTGGGGATGTGGCCTCGGTGGACCACTGGAGCTCTGCTGCAGGGGGAATGGGAGCTTCAGACAAAGTCTGAAGACTTAGTCAATGGTTTATATAGGTGTAATTCAGCCTATATACAACTTTGTCCTGCAGGATTAAGCATGGTAAACTAAATATATTTACATTTAAAAAATTTATTTAAATTTATTTTGCTAATGATAGTGATTAGGCTAAAAAAACTTTAATCAGAATTTTTACTACACAGTATAAGTAGCTATAACTACTAGTTATAGCTACTAGTATAGTGTGCTATTTCTGAAGTAATATTGAAGCAACTATATAAAAGCTAGCAAAAACAATTAGTACGTGGAGATTGGTGTTAGTCACCCATATCAACGACTGTGGGCAAATCTGGTTCCCTCAGCCTGGAGGAGTAACCTTGTGGGGTGTCCCAACTCAAGGGGGGAAACTGCACACACACTCCAAGCAGGTATGTTAAAGACTCTACCACTCAAAAGTGAGACTGGGCTTTTATATTTTATATATGATTGACTGTCAGCCAGATGTCTCCAGGCCATCTGTGTTAGCTCAGCAGCTTTAACAAAGTTATTAGTAGCATCACTTGTTGGTTCCTTTTATCTGGCACTTTATCAGGTCCTCCACATCTTCAGGGGTGCCAGTTTCTATGAGGAAGCATTGTTCTTCCTCAGGATGGTTGGGATTGATGAGTCAGTCTGGTTTCAGTGTTCTTCAGCACCAAAAGCAACATGACACTGCCTCCTCCATTTGTCGGCCGAGGGGCTCGGGACAAACGGCAAATGACCAATGTGATCCGCAAAATGTCCACTTTATTTACAAAAAGATACCCTTTATATACTCCTACACCCTGGCACATGATTTCTCTTCTACATTACTTGTTACATGAAAGTGTTCACAATGTAAACATACCCTTTTGACCACTTCTAATTGGATTATTGGAGGTGTCCAACCGTGAGGTGAGTACATATGTTTACCTTTTGGGACTCCACCTTAATTTTGGCATAGATCCTTCTTTGTTTCAGCTTCAGAGCCTGAAGCCATAATGATTGCGCAGCTTTTTTTACTATCTGTGCCTGGCCTTGTCAAGGCAAGGCCCACAAAAATGCAGGAGAAATTGCTCACACAATCCTACTCTCCCCACATCCATTCTCCACCGATAACTTTGCAAACAGGGTATTGTTGGAGCTGTTTTATCCCCAATCTGCAGAGCATCCTGTTACAAGCTACAAGTTGTTTCCTTCTTAACAGGTCCTTCACAACAGGATTTTTCTTTACATCTCTATCACACCACATTACATCACAATTTGCCCCTAGGCAGTCACCTGGCCAAGTGTTAGTGGCTTTTTTATTTCAGCTACAACCAGCTACATCTGTCTATAATTTAAGAGTTGTGTGCTATACAGCTTTCAGCTACCTAAGGAGTTGTTCAGTCACAGAAGCCAGTCCACATTAAGTAGGATGGGAGTTTTGTAGCCTTTACCTGACTTCATCTTTGTCTGACCAACCTAGTGGCCTTCTACAATGTGCTGACTACAACAGTGGACAAGGGAAGAGTTACAGATGTCATTTATCTGGACTTTTGTTAGGCCTTTGACATGGTCCCCCACAACATCTTTCTTTCTAAATTGGAGAGAGATGTATTGAATAAGTGTGGAAAAATCCTGAAAAACAAAACTCAGCAAGAAGTGCACATGTTGGCAACAGTTCACCAGGAGCAAGCTGTCTGCACACCTTAGGAGCAGGAACACTGGGGGAGCTTGGTATACTGCCCTAAGGGAGACATGAAAAAAAGGGCGGAGCAGCATGGAGGTGTTGTGGTCATGCACTGCCAAAGTCAAAACAGCTAACAGGAACTAAACCAAAGGAATCACCCAAACGGTGACTGAAAGATGAACTTTGCTTCATTAACTCAAAAATGCATATTACTTTTCACGCCCCCCATATGCTAATAAAGTAAAACCTGTACATGTTTTACGTGTAAGACTAAAGTCACTCAAACTACACCTAGACATGAAATTACATCACCTGTAACTCTACCATTTCCCCTCCCTCAAAGAAAACAATACATCTTAAGTGGGGGAGGAGGTCAGAGGACATTCCACTCTTGTGTCCTGGGACAGTTGATAGGCTGTCCCTCCTCTCCCATAGGAACACATATGGGATGAGACTAGAACACTTGGCAATACCAAGTGCTCCCTTGGAAAATTCAGAAAGCTGTCCTGTGTTTGTGATCACATTTTAGCACTATATAGTTATTTTACAATTTAATATATTTGTTGCTGGCTGTATTATTCATATTTTATGCATTCGTGTATGCTTCTGCAGACAGTGTTTATCATCAGCAATCCAGTAAGAACCTGCATTTCTGTAGCTCAATAAACTACACTAGTTTGCATCTGACAATGAGAATTACTGAACACAATCAGACTTTTAATCAGTCTGTGAGAACTCATTGAATACAAACAGACTTATATTGTATCGCACTGTTCTTGCATCCATAATCATGGTAGTTCTCAGTGGACGTGGTCAGACTTACAGTGCCCTGTTGGCTCTTCATTTCTCTGTTGCTTAGTGCCAAATTGGCTATTACTCAGAATTTAAGCCCAGCCTCCCTCAGCCCCTTTGATCTCTGAGGACTAGCTGGAAAGCCAGGGGGTTTATTTTCTGCCAAATCTCCTTCCTCTTAACACAACAGAAAAATTTGCCTTACTCATAACTCAAAAATGAGTTGACTGTTTGATGGATGAGGAATTGGCTGGACAGTTGCATCCAGAGGGCAGTGGTCAATGACTCAGTGTCCAGACAGACACTGATGACAAGTGGTGTCCCTCAGGGGTCTGTACTGAAACCAGTTCTGTTTAATGTCTTCATCAAGGACATAGACAAAGGGATTGAGTGCACCCTCAGCAAATTTGCAGATGACACAAAGCCAAGTGGTGTGGTTCACATATCTGAGGGATGGAATGTCACCCAGAGGGACCTAGACAAGTTTGAGAAGTGGGCTTGTGAGAATCTCATGGGGTTCAACAAGTCGAAGTGAAAGGTCCTGCAGTGGGTTGGGGCAACCCCTGGTTATCAATACAGGCTGGGGAATGAGCAGATCCAGATCAGCCCTGCTGAGCAGGACTTTGGGTGCTGGTGGATGAGAGGTTGGACATGACCTGGCACCGTGCACTTGCCAACTGTGTTCTGGGCTGCATCAGAAGTAGCATGGCCAGCAGGGCGACGGAGGTGATTCTGTCCCTGTACTCTGCTCTGGTGAGATCTCACCTGGGGTTTTGCGTCCAGCTTTGGGGTCCCCAGCAAAAGGACATGGACCTGTTGAGCGGGTCCAGAGAAGGGCCACAAAGATGATCAGAGGGCTGAATCACCTCTCCTATGAGAAAGGCTGAGGGAGCTGGGGTTGTTCAGCCTGGAGAAGAGAAGGATCCAGGGGGACCTACTGTGGCCTTTCAGTCCTTAAATAGGGCCTATATGAAAGATGGGGTCAGACTGTTGCGATAAGAGAAGCAGTAATAATATAAATAATATAAAGTAAAAGAGGGTTGATTTAGATTGGATATAAGCAAGAAATTCTTTATAATGAGGGTGCTGAAACACTGGAAGAGGGCTTCCAAAGAAGTTGTGGATGCCCCATCACTGGAAGCATTCAAGGTCAGGTTGGACAGGGCTGTGAGTGACCTGATCTAGTTGAAGATGTCCATGTTCATTGCAGGGAAGTTGGACTGGATGACCTTTAAAAATCCCTTCCAACCCAAGCCATTTTATGATTCTATGATTTTATGATTCTACCTCTCTAGGGTTCCTTGGCACTTTGAAGTGGAGAATGCTAGCAGAAAATCTGTTCTCCTCCTTCCTGAAAGACTTCTCTACCCCCCCGACATTACAGTCCAAGGACATGACTAGCATTCACACTTAGTGCTAATGGGCTAAAGACACAGAGTCTATCTGTTAACTAGATGAGAAAAGAGGAAGTAAATTTCTCAAATCAGGGTTTCCAGTCTCTGTAAATGTAATCCCATCAGCAAACTGGGGTTTATGTCCTTAAAAACATAGAGGGTCTGGGCCGTGGAAAAGTCTCTCACCTTTAAGACTGTTCTGAAACCTAAGTTTTAGGTGGATGTGAAAGGAATAGTTTCTTGAGTCTGCCATGTATATTGTTTTAGGATATTAACACTGTAACACCTCTTTATACTCTGTCCTTCCCACTTCACAGATCTTTGATGCATATGCCAAATATTTCAGTTATTTACACACCGTACACAACAGCTTCTTAAAATACACCTCTGAGTTCCTTTGCTAAAGCAGGCTCTTTTTGTTGTGGTTTACAGTATTTGCTGGTTTTCTCTTTTAAGTTACTATTTGACAATATTTCTCATCACTTCTCTGTTGGAACTTCCATTTTCTTTTTCCCTGAAACTCTGTATATATGTATTTTTTTTTGGCCAAATGCAGCAAATGCTTTCCTTCACTGCTTTTTATGAGGCAATACACTGTTGATTTTTTTTTTAAAAGAGTTCTTAGACCTTCTTCTTTCGAAGAAGTTTGAAGACTTACAGGACACGAGTATCTGGTAGAACTCTCAAAATACTGTCATATTTATAAAAATGGTGTCAGATGCTGCTCTTCCTGAGCTCACCAGCCTGGGAGCACATATGAAAGCAACACTGCGTATTGGCTTAGTTACTGTTCAACCAGGCCAGAGTTTAAATTGCAGAGGGTACATTAAAATGTTTTTATGGCTAAAAATTGCAGTAAAGACACATAGATCAGTTTTGAATCCTTGAGCAGATTTCTGTGTATGATAGGATCAGACTCAATGATACCAGGTAAGACAGAGAGAACAGCTTCATTTCTCAAATACGAGAAAAGAAATATCTTAAATTACAATCTCATAAGCTTAAATTTTGCCTTTTTCTCAGACTAAGGGGAACACCTAGTGGCCGATTAAATTATCACTGTTTCCTGAAAATGATAGCTCGGTCTAGAACATACACAATGATTTTTGAGTCAGGAAAACTGAAAGAGATAATCGTATCAGCCCAGCAACTGCAGTAGCCTCTTGCAGGTGTGCGTGGGCTAGAGAAGACAGGTCAGGATGAGCCCTTTCCCTTGGCAGCTCGCACGCTGGATCCGTGGCTGTGACTCAGTCCCCCTGCCATTGGTCCCTCCTTAGAAATCAACGGCATGATGTGAGCAGACTCTGGCTTTACAATGAGCAGTCCTTATTTTCAAGTAGGAGGCCAAGAAATACAAGCCGGTCATTTTCTCACATTCTGTTTTCTGTTTGCAGGGTTTCATTTTTATGGCTCATTTCCACTGTAACCTGCTTTCCCTTCTGTCACCAAAGCATGGTGTAGGTGCTCATCACGCTGATCTGCAGGGTCCCTGGCAGCAATAGACTGACATCCCAATGCAATTAGCAGGAACTGGAAATGTTATAGATGCATAGTGAATTCAACCAGGTTTACTTTTTTAGTCATCTGTAAAAGTGTGAATAAATAAAACCCCATTCTTCATCATCTCTCAGCAAAGCCTGCAGGTGTGCCCAAAGGTGAGCAGGACTTATACATGTTGACATGTTGGCAGTGTGAGTCTACTCACAGGCCCAGTCAGTCATCTTGTGAGTGATAATAAAAGCAAACCTGCCTTTGGTGCTCCAGACTTGTCAGTGGACTAATTAGAAGCAAGTAAAATATTTTCGTGAGCTTGCCACTAAGTGTGCTGCTGAGCACAGCTCCTCCAGCACCCAGGAGCTGGAAGCAGCGCTGGTACCTCCAGGTAGTGCGTTGTGCTCCTGCCCTTGGCCCCGTGTGGGGCCGTCACACAAGGGAAGTGGCCACGGGTCCTGCAGAATGGCCACCCAAAACCCCAGAGCCTACAGGGGTCTCCAGGCATTCCTCCAACCCTCACACCTGCGTCATGCTCTTTGTCTTGCAGCATGCAACAACATGACCACAAACAATATTCTGAGTGTTTTATTAACAAGTATAATACATATGAACTGTATACTATAGTATGAGAACTGTACAGTACAAATTTATGTTCACAGTTTGACATGACAAAATGTCATTACTGAATTCCCATTGGACTACCAAAGTAGAAACAGTGAAAGTACATTAAACATTCACATCTTTAGTAAGAAAAGATTACTAAAATGTTTCCATATTTGCAAGTTATAGTAATGCACGCTAGAAACCTTTAATTACCCATTCTGTCTTATTAGCTTATAAAATATATTACATTTTATTTAAAAAATTCTGCATAGTTTATAGAAGTATTAAAGTAAATAAAACATCCTTGCTATATTTGCAGGTGATAGATGCTAAGCAAAAAGATTATTTTGACCCTTTAAATTACATTTTAAAAAGTGCTAATATCTGTAAAATATAATGAAAACTGGTGTAGCCCTCTTAAGAGATGTAACATGCTTTGTAAATTTTTATAGAAAGGATTCGTATTCATCTACATGTTGCTAACCTTGACAGCAACAACATATTTGGACAAGATGTAGCATTTGAAATATCACTGCAGAATGGTGGGTGTATATTTAAATAAACCTCACACATTTATACATGCTTAACTTTTTGTATTAGAAACCAGTAATTTATTATGATCAAATGGCTTAAACAGGCACATTTTCATAGAACAGTATTACCTGTTATAAGCTGCCCAGTGCAATACAACTAGGGAAAAAAGTGGGATTTTTAATTATACACATTCTCCAGGACTAGGGTTTTCTATTTCAACTGGCTTTTCTTTAGGGCAAAGATGGAAGGACTGGCTTTGAAAAGTAGTTGTGTATATTTAAAAATTACAAGGTATCCCTCAAATCAAAGTTTGCTAAAATCAAGATGTGCTGTTTAAGTTGTAACTTCACATTCAGCTGAAAGATCAAAGTGTATTTGCTCGTGACCTTTTTGGCATCCCACAAAGATATCCCAGACACAAGTGAAAAATCCTAAAAGGAAGGCATTTAAATGAAATAATATCAAAAACTTACATTTTATATTTAAATTTCTCTTGTCCTAATTCACAAGGCACATGGATGAAGATATTTTAAAGTTCCATTGCATCTCTACTGTATTTGTCCCCACCATTAGCATAAGTACTTTCAGGAAAAATGTACATAAGCTATGAATTAACATAGCAAATAACCTAGACTAAATTATCTGAAATAACTCTTAGTTACAAAGAAGTTCTGCTTTTAGGGTACTTGATCTTTGTTTCTGATTTTAAAAAAATACTTAAAAAGAGAACATATTAATGAAAACATTTTATAAAAGCCTCAAAAGAGAAACAGAGCATTGGAAAGAAATGTTCCTTAAACATCCCAAATTTTATGCATTTGCATTTGTTAAGCTAAAAATGGGACCAGTCGCCATGAGACTGCTTATTTTTATAGTATCTGCTTTTTTCCCTAGAACGGAACAGAGAATTGTTTTCATCCCAGGATACTAAATGTCTGTGAAGTTGTGACTGATGCCATAAGGTTCTACACAGCCTCTCAGCAGTGATGCACCTATATTTACGAAACTGCCATTAAAAAGCCAATTCTCCTACCGCTGACAATAAAAATATCCAACAAAAATCCCCAGTCTGGAAGAGCTGCTTATTAATATCTGTCTCTTTCCTACAAGTTCCTCAATGTCAATAACAATTTGGCCTGCCAAAAAAAAAAGACCAATTAATGTCCCAAGTTTTTCAGTGCCATAGATGAGCAGATCAGGGTCAATTACAAGAAGACAGATACAGTGTTACTTCCCTCAGCCCTAATGAAGTGGTGAGGATGTTTGTAGCTGTAACAAAGCATGTGGATCTTCCTCACAAAAGCACGAATGTTCCCAGCCCCTGCTTTGCAAACCCCTGCTCTCCCCTTTGTAGAGCACATGTTCAGGGCTCTATTCCTTAAATAAAACTGCCAGTTCCATATACCCAGTGCAAGAGTTGTTAACAACTGGAACACTTTCTATTTCATAGAAATTGCTGTTGGAGCATTTTTCTCCAGGAGTACAGACCTCTCATCTTACTCTATGGGTATGTGGATGTCAGCAGAACAGGTGGTAAAGTCTATCACCAAGGGAAGGCTCTTTGCATTCACACTCTTGCATCTCCAAGATTATTTTTTTGCCGTTGGACTACAGAGACTGTAGAAGCACAGCCTAACTGCTCCATAAGCTCAAATATACCCACCTGCAGATGGACACTCCACCTGCCTCCTCCTGCAGAGCTCTGTGCAACTCTTCCTCTCCTCAAACCTCCATTGTCCAGTGGGATTTTCCAAGAGAAGGAAAAATCTTGCAGGGAATAGTGTTTATATTGCATAGAACAAAGAAGGAAAATGCACTGGTGCAATAAGAGTGTGGAGAAACATATCCTGTTCTCTTGCAGTGCCACAAAGTCTGCCAGCCAATATAGACAGAAACCTTCCTTTCAGAGGAAAGGAAGATATTTCCCAGATGGGAAAATATCTGAGATCAACTGCAGGCTGCTTGACTTCAATTTATTTTACCTATGGAGTTCTGTTCGCTAACAGACATGGGAATTAAGACTTGCTGATGTGAAGTTTTAATGCAACAGACACATCTACATGGAAGCTTTGCCTACCTACAAAGAGAGACTACCAGAGTCACAAATCAGAGTTAGGAAATGGATGATTTGGTATACATTTTTATCCAAAAAAGAGACATGACTCAATTTATCAGAAGTGCATCATATTTGAAGCCATCTTCTTACAAAAATATTGTGGATTAATAATTTTAAATACTGTAGTGTATTAAAGTAGTACTCACAGTTCAGAGCATTTTTTACATAATGATTACTATTTTCTGAGGTACAGTAAAGAGAAAAATTATTTAGAGGAAATGCAGGGGCATGATTGCAGGGGGATAGTCTATATCCCTGAAATGAGGTGCAGTAGATTTCTATGAATACCATGTAATGCCAAGTCACAGGAGAGTACAATAAAATCATAGAATATCCTGACTTGGAAGGGACCCATTTAGATCATCGAGTTCAACTGCTGGCCCTGCACAGGACCATCCCCAAGAGTCACACCATGTGCCTGAGAGCATTGTCCAAACACTTCTTGAACTCCGTCAGGCTTCATGCTGTGACCACTTCCCTGGAGAGCCTGTTCCAGTGCCCAACCACCCTCTGGGTGAAAAACATTTTCCTGATATCCAACCTAAACCTCCCCTGACTCAGTTTCAGGTTGTTTCTTGACTGTGTGTTCCACCCATACACTTGCACAGAAACCAGACATACAGTGTCACTGAAGGTCTTCATTTAACAAATCCACTGGGACATTATTCAATAAAAACAAGGATATCTACTACACTATAATACAGATGAGAGATATTGGTTTAGATGCACAGTGTTATGTACGGACCCATTCCTGCCAATTTTTCTTCTTGACTGGGGTAAATGATACTATGACTCAATCCTTCTGTAAAGTAATTACACTGTTTAGATTTATTTCCTCAGCGTTACTCACTGTTTGGGCAGAGGGGATTTCTAAATCAAATGTCTTTCTAAAACTGTTGCATTAACCACATTGCAGAAATCAACACAGCCAGGAGAGTTCATTCATTGCATTGCTGAGCATAAAATGAGAGTGTATCCCTTACTGGGCACATAAATGAAAGTGTCTGTCAAGGACTACCATTTTGGATATTCAATAACATTTACTACTTTATCAGTATATGCTGGGTTGATTATATGAAGAAACCAACAAAAGCCGTTAGTTTACAAATTCCCTTATTCACAAATGGAATACATTAAACACACTGAATGTAGAAAGGGTTTGCTTAGCATCCCCAGGAGAAAAAAAAAAGAAGTATTCACATTCTTTAGGTCTGACCCGTGGCAAGGACATAGGAGGGTTAGATAACATCTGTTACTGACCATATGTAAGTTTTTAATGGTATAAACTCAGAGATCCAGACCAGCTGAATCCAAATTAAAATGCATGTGTAAAAAACAAAAAAAGTGTGACAGGAGTCAGGGACAGAAGACATTCAGACTAGCATGTGGCGTTTTCTGTGAAGAGCAAGATG